AATAAGAAGATGCCATGATACTTGGAGAAGGGAACTCTGAATTAAAATTCAGCAACTAAGTAGAAAATGATGCGGAATTAATAGGATATACGAAATCATGATTGAAAGAAGAGATGAATAGAAGAATGGTAGAGAAGTGAAAGGTATGACTGATTAAAAAAAACACTAAGCAACTTCAGGGAGCTTGGGAGAATTGGTAGAATAGATGATACAGACCCAGATGTGGAAATGAAGGACTTAAGAAATGACTAAAAAATATATGAAAATGAAGAAAGGCAAAGGTATGGGAGGAGAATGCCATGCCTCTGACTCCCAGGGGGAAAAAATCTTCAAAGCAAAAAAAAAAAAAAAAAATGATGGTATTTCTCCCATGAGGAAAGAATTGGGATTTTAGGGCATAGGAAAGGGATCATTGGGCAGTTGGTTGTAGATACTAAATATGATACATTAGCAGCAGGTAGCAGTGTTTCAGGAGCAGAAGTCTGATATGTTATCTCAGACTGGTTAGAGCAGCACTCAGAAGGTTGAGGCAAGATTGCCGTGTGTTCCAGGCCAGCCTGATGAGGGAATATAAAACTGACTCAGAAGAGAATAAAAAGAAAACTAAATAAATAAAAAGGACAGCCTTCATAACTAGTAACAGGAAAGAAAAGGGTTAAAGCAAAGCAATGTACAAAAGCTGAAGTGTCATATAGTTTTTAATAGAATAAGTAGGGAGATGGCATGCCAGGAAAGGGATGGGACAGCTGGGACTGGGGGCATGGAGACAGAGGAAAGGTCTAAAATAGATCTCATGGGGACTGAGCCGGAGAGTACAGAAAAGACAATTAAAAAGACTGCCAAATAGCAGCAGAAACCAGATTGAAGGCTGAAAGCATCCAGTTCTAATGAGCCAAATCTGCAGTGCTTTGTTTGCGTCCAGCAGTGCTACCTCTCCAGGGAGAAGCGGTGAGAAGAACAGAAGGTAGAGGTATATTCTATGGCAGGAACTTGCTCTGTGAGCGAGGCAGACCGTGGCATGCATGGGAGCCTGACTCATTTCAATGCAGCAGAGCAGTAATCTCTGAGTCTGGCCACTGGATATTTCCAAGGGAAGGGAAAAGGGTTAATTCAGGGCTAGATAGCTACCTAACTCTTCGTGTAAATTAGAGAGACTCTGGGTTCTTAGCCCCTGGCCATTTCCATTCCTACTGAGACCATGGGATCATCATGAAGAAGGAAAACAACATGAAATTTAAGAATTCTTAGTAAAGGACTGTCTTTTAGTGACTGGTTAGGAAGTGCCGGTGCATGGGGGGCATAAGACTAGGATGATTGACAGGAGAGAAGGAACTCTCTAGAACTGCATATGTTTCGAGGACCTTAGTTACTAAGTTCTAAATAAACTACTTGTCAGATGGGGAAAATGGAGTTTTGTTGTATGCAAGCCACGTTGACTAAACGATTACTCATCTAAGAAACTCCCAATGCTTACAGTGAAGTAAAGGCTATGCAGTGAAGGCTAGCCCTCCTCTTAAATGTCTCACTTTACACTTCACGTCCTTAGCTACCAAAACAAATCAAACCTGTTCCACACTCACGCAATTGCACCAACTGTCCCTGAAGACCGTAATCCACCATCTGAGATTTGTCTTTTCCTAATATTTTATTTCAGTTCACATTCCAACCACAGTGCTCCCTCTCCCCCCTCTTCTTATCCCCCCATGCCTACCCCCTAACTGTCACCTCTCTTAGAATATCTTTCTAAGCATCAATCTGAAGTGGTCTTCAGTCATTTACCCACCCCACTACCTGATTTGGGAGTTAAGGGGGTGTTTTGATTTGCTTTTATTGAATTCTTGACAAAGATAATGTCTTTCTTACTTATACTCTATAGTATATTTCTGAAACTAAAATATAAAACCCAGAAAGGTCCTTATCTAAGTCACTATTATACTTTTAATTTCCCTAGAATCTTGCAAGCACCTAACATATATTAAATACTTACATGGTAAGTCAATGAATTACACAATGTAGATTTTTTAAACATGATACACAAAAAAAAGTTACACAAAGCACAGGTTCAATCCCAAGGTTTTGTATTCAAAAACTGGAGGGAAAAAATCATGTTATTGCCTTATAAGTCACACTGACCTTATCTACCTGTTCCGCAAAATAAATACTATGAGAAATAATATTTTTATTGTGGATACAAGCATACGGGACAAAAAATTCAATATATAATCACAGTGTGTTTCAATAAGAATGTTAAATGAACATGTGAAGTAAAAATGTGTTATTTTGATTAAGCTGAGACATGGGGTCTGGAAGTAGGTTTTTCAGAATTTGCACTCTGTAAGAGTCTATTAGCTGTGTCAAATATATAAACAAAATATCGGATGAATTTTCCATAAAGTATGTGTTATAAGCATTGGTTTCAGTTTGTAGTTTACTTAATTAAGAGATTTTTTTTAAAGGAAGAAGAATATGTGCTCTTTGTCATGAAAACCAATCTCCAAGTAAGTAATTCCATCTCCACCCTAGTTCCTAAAGACTTGTGCAAAGTATTCTCAGCCAGTTGACTTTCATCAAAACATACAGGATAAAGATGCAAGAGTTAAGAATGTCATCAAAATAAAAATCAATAACAGTAATGAATAATTGATGGTAAAGAATTCAAGCTGGCCTTACACAGATCTGGAATATAGCTAAAATTACAAAGTAACCTGTTTCAACATTCTCCATTAAGATACTGATATAGCAACAATAAGAAAAATTCATTAAATATATACACACACACAAAAGAATTAATGATTATTTGAAGATCGGGTACAAAGAGAATTAATATATGGACAACCTGATTTATATTTTTCAAGCATAACAAGGTCAAGAAACACAAAAGAAAGAGATGGAGAGATGAATCAGGACTTAAAAGAATTTACTGCTCTTTCAGAGGATCTTAACCCCCTTCCCAGTGCCCAGATATGTGTCTCATAACTGCCTATCTCTCGAGCTCTAGCAGATTTTATTACATCTTCTAGCCTCTGAGATCTCACCCATGCATGCGCGCATGCACACACACACACAGAGAGAGAGAGGGGGAGAGAGAGAGAGAGAGAGAGAGAGAGAGAGAGAGAGAGAGAGAAACTAAGGAAGTAATTCATCTTTAAACTGATTTTGTAAGGAAATGTTTTCAAGCTTAAAAATTACCATGGATATGCTGGGAAATTAGACGGAAGATTGAGTACACAGCTCCACAGGCAACGGACCTAACAGAAGATTTTAAGATTGCCATAATAGAAAGAAAAATTCACTTATCTCAATAACTCTGATAGCAATCACTTAAAAGGTACATATTAAGTAAGTAATAAATAAAATGGGACTACCTGTCTTTAAGTTCTAATATAACGTTTCATTGTAATAAATGACATGCATAAATTAACATCAAAAGTAAATTTAAATGGTTCCTTTATTAAGTAGCACTTTCATAAGAATACTGACACTATTTAATTCTAAAAGAAAAAAAATTCCAGCCTACAATTCATAATCCCAGAGAACCTGGACAACAATAAGGACCCTACGAGAGACATACATGGATCTAATCTACATGGGAAGTGGAAAGAGACAGGATCTCCTGAGTAAATTGGGAAATTGGGAACATGGGGACCATAGGAGAGGGTTGAAGAGGAGGGAACAGGAAAGGAAGGGAGCAGAGAAAAATGTGTAACTCAATGAAATTAATTTTAAAAAATGCTCAAAAAATCTTGAAGAATTAAAAGACAACAACAAAAAGAAAGAAAGAAAACAAAGTGGGGAGTGTAACTCTTCAAATGCACAAAGGTCAAATTTCTAATCTACTAGATTAATAAATCTTTTGTCATTCTTTTGAAGAACCTTATTTTAAACTAAATATTAATAACCAAGGCAATGTTAAAGGTTCATTGTGAGTTCATCAATAAATGGCCCCCACTATACAGAGAAAGACTCAGTTTAGAGACAAATGGTACCTTGCTTTATTTCAAGCAGTCACCAGTTCACAGATATGAAAGACAGCAGCCACCTTCCCACTGCTTGGACAAGTGGTGCGATGCAATCAAAGACATCCTAGAATGAAACTTGCATTTCTAGTTTTGACCCTGTTAATGCCAGTATTACCTTATATTAACAGCTAGCGCTTCAAGATTAAGATGGTACTGATCTACAAAAAAAAATCTAAAGGGGAAAAACTAAAATATTTCTTGCCTCTTTATTACCTGAAGAAAATGCAAAAATCAAGTTGCATACGTACATAATTATGTAGATCGTCACGTATCAGTCTCAAACACTCAGCAGGCTCCAAACGTAAATGGCAATGCTTATGCCTCAAATAATACACTTACATTTATTAGTTCTTTTCTTTGCCTGCCTAACCCTCCTCAGAGGGTAGCAATTTATTTTTGAGCATTCTAATGGCATTGGATGCAGAAAGATAAATCAAACTGAAGCAGGAAAAAAACCTAAGTCCTGTTTTGAAAAGAAGGCTATCGTCAGTTTTACCTACGAAAACTGCTGCTCTGCTATAAAACAGACACACAGGACACTTTTCCTGAGGCATCACAGAGTAGAAGTCAGACCTTTATCAATGAATTCCCACCACCCACCATGTTTACCACCACAGGTCAAGAATACACATACCGCATTCAGACTGATCGGTAATTACCCAAATATTCCTTAACCTTAAATTTTGGAAGAAAAACAATTATCATAGGAAATCTTAGTTTGTTATTAAAATAGAATAGATTGCTAAGACATCATCTCAGTTTAGTTTTAATCATTATTCCTGGGTTAATATCAGATTTAATATCAGCCACCAGAACGACAATCTTCATTTGTAAAGCAGTATGTATTATATGCAATCAGTATGTTAAATGGCATGTCTTTACTTTAATGCTAGTGAAAAGAGACATTAGACCAGTTATTGCAGGTACAACATAGAGAATTCTAAATGCAACACTTGCTGGCACATCTATGTTCTTACTCACCAGTGGTTTCCACGATGCCTTCTAGGATGACGACCACCTCGAATTGTTCGGTTTGCATGCTTCGCTGGGATAAGTCATAAAAAGGGCTTTTGGCATCGATCACGTGGCAAATTGTGAGAGGGGACACAAGAAAAAGTTGATCTGCTCCTGTGCTAAAACCTACATCCAGTTCAAGTTGGTCAAGGGGAAGGAACTCACCCTCAGGAGTCTGCCGAGACTAGACAAGCACACAGAAAAAGAGAAGAAATCACCACTTGAACTGACAATGTCAAGGTAGCCCAACAATCATCTATATCACTGCCAACATTCTTCCCTATCAATCATCAGTAATGTAATCCAAACAAATCATTATGCAGCTATATTTTACCAAATGGGCTGAGATCCCACATAGCTCATGCAGAACATACATGCATTATTTATAATAAACAGTTTGCTGTAATTACCAGTCCCTAACTCCTGAGCTTTGGAGAAATGCCTGATGTAACAATGGCTGTGAATCCAACCAGGGAATTGAGGGTGTACGTGCACACTGCTTGATAGAAATCTCTGCATGGTAAGCAAGGTCATGTCATAGTAGCCTTCCTTCAGAAAGCAAATCAATTTGCAGTGAAATTTGTTGAAAAATGCTGACCACAGTTTTAGAAGAGCTTTATCTATTTCTTGAAAAGCAACATGAATAACTTTTTTTTGATTCTGAAATTTAGTAAAGTAACAAATGAATATAAAACTGAAAAGACACTATCATACTAAATTGTGAAATGTATCATGGTCTTAAAAGGCATGTACTATTAGTTCCTGGTTTTAATTCTCCTGATAATAATAGACTGTAATATAATTTTCTACTCCTCTCTTTATGATTTTTAAAATATAGCCAAAAAGCGCCCTGTTGAACTTTTTGTTAAACAAAATAGAATTTAAAGTTAGTTGTCTTTGACAAATGGTTCATTAAAAAAAATCTCATAGTACTGGCACTTTGTTTCAACATAATCACATGAAAGCTTAATTCAACAAACTGCTTGTATCCTAAGACTGTGAATGAAAAGCAAATATCAGCATACCATAAAAGTTGACTTACTCATTCTTTTTGTTCCATTCATTTCCATTTTGTTTATCATATCTATTATGCACAAGAGCTCTACAAGCAAATATTTAGATATAAATAGCAGAAGCAAAATAAGAGCTGGTTAGTTAGACTTATACAGAAAGAAACTAATGGGAATGGTTCTATCCCAGTGATCAAATAAGACTTGATACAGTCCAGTATATTTTAAGACCCCTCATCAACTAATTTAAAATGGAAAGGACTCTAGAGCATGGGTCTGCCCAAAGAAACATTCACTTCAAGATGGAGATCTTACTTTCATTTGGAATTCATATCTGGTAAATGAGACCTAGAAATTCTGAAGAACTGTTGAATAATCTGTCTTTCCTGAAAAAGTATGAGTAGTTTTAAATCAGTGGTGGTGTATCATCATTGTGATCACCACACAGGACTTTAAAAGCTGAGCTGATTCATTTGAAAAGCTCTATTACAACTGGCAATACTGGAAATTTTTCTCGTATAGGAGAACATTCGGGGAAAACACTGAGATTACTTTTCTTCTCTAAGTAAAATGCAAAAGAAAAAGAAAAGGAGGAAAGGGAACTTCTGGGAAAGAAGGAGGAGAAGAAATAATTCCCCATCACATTTTTGTTTTTAATCTCTGGGAAAACCTGCTTATCAAAATCCAAAACCTCAGCACTAGCAACCAATATTGGAAAGCAATTGATATTTTCAAATATGAAAAATACTTGTTTGAAGATTCTTCCAGACACCTATAGTGGCAACATATTGTTAATTTAGTGAACTAAGAGTGAGATTAACTACTTCCCAACTGTCAGCTGGATGTTGATGTTTGGTTCCTATATGAAAAAATAACAGACAGACAAGGACGAAGACAAACAAAGTCCACTTCATTGTGTTTCCACCTAAGAAGCAACTGGTGCTATACAAGCACAAGGTGATATTCTGAAATCTGTAATTAATGACTATAATTTAGGTCCCTTTTACTAGCTAGTCTAAGTTCTTTTTTCTGTACTATAGCACGGACGATGTCTTTAAATTCTAATTTTTTTGTAATATTTCTCCATAGAGGAAAACTTTTGGTTACCAGAACTAAAATTTGCCTAATTTTGAATATATTTGTTATCCTTACCTGTGACTTTAGAGTATATTTTATGTGCTATATTCCCTCACCTTTCATCAGCTGAAGAACGGAAGCGGCCTAAGCACAGTCACACTATCAGGGGATCAGCAGGCTTGCCGGTAAAGTGGTTTATTCTTATATAGGCAATTTACATAGATCTGCTATAGGAAACCCTACAGCCAGTAGCCTTTAAGTTACCCACCCACTTGGGATGACCTCTTATACAATAAATGCCCATGTAAAGCACCCATTCCCTCTCTCTTCCAACTGCAGGATTCAGTTGCTGTTCTCCATTCGAGCAGAGAACTGTGATCTGTGAGTCTACCCCTAAATAAATAACCCTTTATAATACTCAATTCTGAGCTAGTGTGGGATTTCTTTTTAGCATCCCTATTCATAGATTTACTCCATTCAAATTAACATGTCTTCACTTCTGAAATATTTGTTTATTATATTCAAATTAATGCTCTTTATTCCTACTCTCACCAATTGAGAGTGTGCTGACAACTTTGTGTCCTCTCCAGATCTCCCTACTGTGCAACACTGTGGAGAAAGTGCAAATAACTTCACTTGTTTGGCTGGTGCTTCTGGTGATTCTTGTAATATCAGTGAGACCCCACAAATGCTAGTAAAATTTTTTCAGCAGGCACTATATAATGTATTGTTTAGTTATGTGAGATCCTTCACACGTATTTCTAAATTCATCATTTATGTTAGGACATCAGACATTTTGACTATAAATTCGTTCATTTTGTGATCTTTGTCTTTTTGACTTGGTACTAGACTATGAAGTCTATTAATAACTAGAAACAGATAGAGGGCTTTGGTCCAAGTCAAAGGTGAAAGACGTGATGTCAGAGAAGAGGCTGCATGGAAGACTGGACCTCTCTGAAGTCTGAACTGTGAGAGTCAAGATCTGTTACCACTGATCAGCCAAATACTCTTAAGTCTACAGAAAGATGTAGGTGCCTACTACATACTTTCTCAAAGCAGATATATTCTTTTTTGGATTTCAAAAAATTGTAATTAGGAGCTCCTGATTCTGGTATAAACCCCACGATTTTCCAGAGCAAAGCTAGGGAAGTAAAAATAAAAGCAAGCTATTTAAGTGGGAGAAGTTGAGAGTTTTTGTTTAAAGAATTGTGACATATGCATGCATAAGGAAAATAAAGATAAAGAGGAAAAGATAGTTCTGTAAATAGCCTTATAAAAGTATACTTACTCTACATTATGACTACATGATGAAATAGTACCATTTATAGCCTATGAGCTTCCTGTCCCATGTGGCTAACAACTACTTTGTTTAACATAGAGATATTTGATAATAGGCAGAAACGTTTCAGATAAAAGGGTTTTAACCTTTCTTAATTATGTCATTGTAAGAGTTCTGAATCAAGAAGGAGGATTCCATTAGTAGAGTGTTTGTAGCTAACGTACTGAGATCATGCAATGCTACAATATTCCTATTTCAAATGGAGCATAGAGCATGGCTATTACTTGGACTAAAATGTGAAATAGTGCTCTGATTAGACAACTATCCACATTGCCTTCAAATGCAAAACGGTGAGAATTTAGATGGAAATAGTAAAATATTTAAATTTTGAAACTTATTACAAAGATTCGTGAAAGTTGTAGAGTTGGTGAGAAGATAAACAAAGGTAGGAGGAAAGAAAGCAATGAAAAATTAGTAATTCTTAACAACTTAGAAGATAAGTTGGAAATACTCTGATCTGAAAATGGCTCATAGACAACTGAATTTTGATTTTGTGGAATCATAAAAAGATACTAAATATTGGTTCATAATCCCAAAGTCAAGCTAGTTGCTAATATGGAAACAAAAGGTTTTTTGAGTTAGAGGAAAGATCTAGGATCTCTAAGACTTGACAGTTGTTTATATGAATATGAATTTTTGAAAGAATTTTGTATAACTTTAGTGGTAGTAATAACTTTTAGCATTCATATTAAAACATCTATGTAACAAATATTCAGTTACACAGAATTCACATTAAATGCAGAGAAATCTCTGAATGTATTTTAAAAGTTTTGCCTAACTATAGAATGATATTTTTGACTTTTAAATACTCTATTATTATTCAACAACTTTGAGTCGTCTCAGATTCAAAAACAAAAGGTATAGAAGATAACCAAGCATCTTAATGAAGATAGAAAAGAATCAATAATCACATATGCTCAGTAGGGAGCATCACATTCAGGTACTTTAAAACAAATTGTTTACTTTCAGTGTGACAAACAAAGATAATTGAAGGAGTATTCACATAGATATTTTCTCACTGTCCTGGCATGTATAAGCAGACCTATGCTCAGCCATTGTCCTTCCGGGCATTTTGTGGCCAAATGTCCATATTCATTCCCTAGAGCTGCACTTCACTCATGCTGCCTAGAAACTTCCTATTCTGCCCTGTAATTGTATTCTGTTCCAGTTTGAGGGGGGGACACAGGATTTACGACTATAAAGCCAACTCATCATTGCCTGACTGCCCTGGTCTGTGACTTGGCCATACGTCCCCTCCCCTCAATTCTCAGCTGACAGAGTCCTATATAGTTAGTGATAAGGAAAGTAAAAAAAGAGGTGGAGAGGACAAAACACCTTCTCTCTTTATGTCGGGGATTTCACTTCTCTTTAAAGGAGGAGTATCACATCTATCTGCTTATATACACCATGGGGATGGTGGAGTCACAGAAAAAATACATATAGTGTAATCAGAGTAATATCCTAAAGCTAAAAGTAGGAAATATGTCTAAGACATGTACTAAGACCAGGAATTAAACTGCCTTTGTGACTCAAAGCAATTATGACAAAAACCTATGACATGCAGGTCAGAATTTAAGGTAGTTAGAGAATCATAGAGACCTAAAATTCCATTTGGGCTGTGATAGACCTTTGTACATGTATTTGGATGATTAAAGGTTGAAATTTTAACTCATGTTAAAGTCAATGCTAAGGTTAAAATAAAGTTTTTTTTAATGTTAAGCTAATTAATCCATAAAATGTCCATTTAAATGAAAGAAATGTACCTTATCTAGATGTAATGCAATTCATCTTGTAATAGATTATGTGAGTCTTTTACATTTTTCAAATTAAAGCTCTGCTTTGTGTCCCTATGGGGGCCTTTTGTTGGCTTTATAATAGCTATGGGCAGGATTTGTATCCCTGATTGTACATTAATTTCCTAACTAACAACACCCTTCAGTCCATGAAATGCCTTTTCCTGCTTCCTTCTGTCATTTGTTCTCACCTACTGCTGTTTGCTTGTGAGTTTTTACATCCCTTACTTCTCTTTATACTTTTCTAAAAGTTCAAGACACCTTGTGCTCTTTAAGAACCATATTTAAAATGAAGACAAAACAAAAAATATTACTACTAGTGTAAGAAGGAATCATAACTAGAGATTTTCGAAAGAACACAAGATCTGTACCTATCTATGAGTTGTCACACATATGTCAAAGGAAGCAATGCTAAAATAAATAGCTACTGTACTGTTTTTAGGTTATAATGAGCCTATGTAAAACAAATAAGATCAGGCCTAGGCCTTAGCAGCTCTGAGGGCCTCCATCTTAGCCTTTTCCCAAACTTTGGCAGAAAGTGGTGGTCTTATTTAGGTATACTCCTTTTTGTAGATTGATGTTTTTAAAAGAAAGTTAGGATATAAAGGAAAGCTTAACCAAGGTCTATTTGCAAGCATGCAACATGAGTTATAAACAATGAAAAGCAAAATCACATTTAAATCCAAGATAGGATATAAAAGCAAATCAATACATTTATGAGAAAACTCAAGAATCATTGTGGTTACTGCCTAATAAAATGCTTTGATAGGTCTGGGGATATAACTCAGTGGTAGAGTAATTTCCCAGTGTGGGTAGTCATTGGTTTATACTTCTTGAAGTAAAATAATGATAATAATAATAATAATAATCAGTAGTTATAACAACAATACGAAGAATTTTGACCAAGGTTGTGTCTCTATGATAGAGGCTTGCTGGCATACATGAGACTTTAGGTTCCCAGCAGTAAGAAAAGAGTATAGAGCTTAATAGTTTTGCAGACTGTAATACTGTTTTCTGTTGCATCTGAGTGTGATCACAATTCTACTGTAGAAACCACACAGCATCAAATTTGATTAGCCATATAAATGGAGAAAGGAAAATGTGTACACAGACAATGTATATGATGTTAGAAGAAGAAAACATTGCACCCTAATGCCATTTAATGGATGAAAGTTAAAAAGCTGTGTAGGGTCTCTCAAGGAAGACAATGACTGTTAACAATGACAGAAATATAAAGAAACAAGAATATGTTCCCATGAAAAAGCTCCCTCTCATCTCATTTAAAAGCGTCCTTATAATAGTTTCCGGTTTTGTTTATAATGTAGAATATTTGAGTGTAAAAGTCAATGTTTGGATAATAAACTATAAGTTTTGAACATTTCACCAAAGATCACTTTATTCCCCCTCCAATAAGGGCAGTCTACCATTAATGAATAGTGGCAAGGAAGATATGTGAGTTTTGCATTTGCTTGACACCCACAGTAGGTGTTTCTCCACCTCTTGGCCACAGAGCTTTCAACTACCCTGTTCAGGCACTTTCATTAAAACTGCTCAAGAACAATACATTAAATTAATCTATCCATGGTATTAATTAATCTCTATTCCTTAGATTGATAGACAAGTAAAATAAAATTTAAAATTAAGTTAATATTAATTTCATGATGAGAGGGAAATTAATAAGAGTACTTTAAAATAGTTTTATAGAGGTGTATTTATGCTTCATTAGATTTTAGACATTTAAAATAACTTCAAATTATATCCTTCACTTTTGATTTAATTTGTAAGAAAATATTGACCTCTTTAGTCTTAAAGTTAGGAGACATGACCATGATTAGTCAGAGGATCAGCAATGTTTTCAGACAGAAAATTGAGGGGTGGCATTTAAATGCAAATTTCCTTCATGTAAGTGAAAAGTAAAATTGAAACTAAATAGAACAGTTAAAATCATTTCCATCAGATAATTGTGAACTCCAAAGAACTATGTGTGAAGAACTTCACAGTATCCATATTAGAAAGGCAGATCTCTGATCTCAGCACCTTCCCAAGAACTGTAAATACTTTATAATGATTCACTAAATCTAATTTGTGCCAATAATTGATCTTTCATTTGACAACTAAGAATATGAATATACTAGTTATTATTGTAAGAAAATATGTGTACTATAATTGCTATGACTCAATAATATACTGAATTTTATTGACATAAAAGTTCTGCATATTGTGTATTGAAGACTCATAAATATAGCATTAAAAGTGTTAAAAATGGTTATAATAGGAAATTGAATATGTGAACTAATATTTACTAAGAATATACACAATTGATAACAAATATTAAAACTTTAAGCTTCTGGTGAAGTTTTTCTTTCCTATTGTAGCTGATTGTTTTAGGTCACTTCAAGTGTCTCTAACAGAAAATAGGGGTCACTCATTAAGGCAAATGTCTCCTCTAATTTGGCTCAGTCTTAGTAATTCCTGAGTGGAACATGACTTCTTTTCAATGTAGTATAAAGAAATGATAAAAAAAATATAAGAATTCACAATATCTCCCCTGGCTACCAAAGAAAAAAAAAACTTGAAATGAGCTACATTAACTTCACTAAATTTTCAATATGAATTTAATATCATATGCCAAAACTTCTAGTTTCAGCACTGATGTCTTCCTAATAGATCTTAAGATAGTAAGTACATCACCATCACTAGTACTCTAATATTTCAATGTTATATTGTTTTTATCACCTTGTATCAATATAGCACCAGTTTCAACATTATACTATTTTATTTCTTAATTCAAGATACTGTTCTGGTAAATGTGGTACATAGCATTATATAGAAAAATCACTATGGGCATGCACATCACTATATAGATGAAGAACCTCAAATTCGTTTTACACATCTCTGTTAGTCGTCTTTTAATTGTATTCTTAACTTATCAAAATAAAATTTGGCAATGTTTAAAACATCTAAGATAAATTGCATGTAAAAAATGTCAGCTTTATTTGGTTTGAAAACTTAGAGGATGATAAAAACTTGAGCTCTTATGCATAGGATAAATTGTTCTTAATGAATGTTTCAAAGTGATATCTGCACACAAAATCCTTGACACAGGCTATAGCACTGTTCGAACATTCAAAGTGCCCACTAGGCCTCTCGAATAAAGCAGAGGAAGAGTTCACTGCACACACAGAAAAGAGCACACACCACCACCACTGCTGTAAGCACCTCTGCAACTCATCCATTTACTTAGCCACTTAATTTAAACATATATCAATAAAGTCAAATGTTCCCTTAAAATATAGCAAGTCTGTATAACTGAAGTGCGTTAGTTAAAAATTGTCAATTAAAATTACATAATCCTAGTTATCCTTATGAAAAATGTACACCAGAAGTAGGCTGGAAATTTTACACCCTATTATCAAAAATGTCATTTATTTACTAATGTGGCATAGGAAATACTCGTGTAATGAGAAATGACAGGGCAAGTGAGCTGCATTAATTCAAGCGCTGCATTGGGCAACTTGGTCAAGAATAATTAGGAAGAAATTTTATCAGTTGATAATGGAAGTGACATTAGAGCAAACAATTTTTTTGTATTATACTGGGAGACAACTTAACTGCATAGTAAGCTGGAGCTGTATAAAGTCAGATATAGTTGAATGGTGTAAATTGAATTTTCAGAGACAAAATTTTCTCTCAACTCGGTTATCAGTCATTTTATTAACCTCTAAGTCCTGAACCTGGCTGTGCTTCTTTATGTAATCTTAGTTCACTCCTTGTCAATAATAAACTATTCATTTGAGGTTGCCTTTTTAAATTCATGAACATTTAAAAATCACTCTGGAAAATCTCTCAGAAAGAAAGAAAGAAAGAAATAAAGAATTGTGACACCTGTAGACTGTCAGAATTAGTCTTTGATCCCTCCTCCTCAGACTCTAACTGGTAAATAACTAGGGGCCCTTCTTGTTTGTGGTGATGCCTTCCAAGGACAACAAGGACCTTAAAACCTACTCTATGAGCAGTTTGCTTTAGCGTTCACAACAAGATGTAAGTAAGCAGTCATCTTTAATGGATGCTGAAAAGCTTCAAAGTAAAATCTGTACTTGACAATGGCTTTGTCGAAACAGGCAATTAAAAAGAAATTTAACAAGAGACTACACTGAAGCTCTCTAGCTTTCACGGAATATGTCTCAAGAAAAATATTTAGTAAAAATAACAATTTTAAAGGAACAGATATGGCGTCTTCTACTTTTCTAACAGCTGCTTGGGTCTGTATGTTTGCTTAAAAGATGACCACAGTCATCCTAGGAAGCAATTTACCTGGTGGTGTTATTGGCAGGGGCTACATCAAAAACATCTCCAAAACTAAAGTTAAGGAAACGTCAACAGTCAATTCTTCAAAATAGAAGCTTTACTGCCTCAAGTTTAAGGGAGTAACGAGTTGACACCAAACCAAAGGAGCTCTCAGGACACAGCAGCAGCAGGAAAGCAGGGCACCTACTTCCCTCAAAGCTTCAGGCGTCCATAGCACTAAACATCACCATCATGGTGTGTATCAGTGCATGTAGGGGAGGAACATAAACAAGAGCGCCAAAGTAGGGGCCAAAACAGAACTGACAACTATGTCCTCTGTCCAATCCCCAGGTCTCTTTCCCGCCTCCTTGTTCCCAAGAAGTTTACCTGGGGTAGAAGGAAAAACCTAGGAGAGGGCAGAGTGGTGCCCAGGGACTTGAATTTTGGGGTTTCTGAGTAACTCTTTCTTGATGGGGAAAGGGAGGGTTGCCTTAGCAACCTCCTAAACTTACCTTTAGCAGCTTGCAGCGGATCTGCGCGGATACCATGTGGCTATTGCGCAGGTTGCCCACCCGGAACATGAGAGTGAGTTTTCCGTCCCTCATGGAGATCACCGCATGCTCGCTAAACATGAGGGTCTCAGCGCGCTTCTTGGGCTGGGACATCTTAATGAACATGCAGCCAATGAGGAAAGCGTCCACGATGGATCCCAGGATGGACTGGAAGAGGAAGAGGATGATGCCCTCGGGGCACTTGTCGGTGATGTAGCGGTAGCCATAACCAATGGTGGCCTCGGTCTCGATGAAGAAGAGGAAGGCAGAGGGGAAGTTGTAGACATTGGCCACACAGGGAGTGTAGTTGCCGACGTGGGCTTTGTTCAGGTCGCCCCGGGTGTAAGCGATCACCCACCACATGGACGCCATGAAGAGCCAGGCCACGGTGTAGGTGAGGATGAAGATGAAGAGGTTCCAACGCCACTTGAGGTCCACCAGAGTGGTGAAGAGGTCCGAGAGGTAGCGACTGGTCTCGCTGCCCAGGTTGCCGTGCTGCACATTGCACCGGCCGTTCTTGTCTACGAACCGCTGCCGCTTCTTCTTGGGTACAAGCTGCTGCTGCGGGCCCTGCCCTGGCCCCTGGGGTTGCAAGCCCGAGCCGCTCGACGAAGTGGTCACTACCTGATAATCGTCCCCAAATTTCCTTCGGAGTGCAGACATAATACGGAGGGGCGAGCCAGATTCAAACACGAAGCGGAGGCACAGGAGCCAAGCGCTGCAAACCAGCACCAATAAGGAGGTGGGGGCAGGGGACGAAAGCAGGAGGGGAGGGGACGAAAGCAGGCGCCTGGGTGGGGGGTTGGGGAGCACCCTGCAGGTAGCAGCAGACTCTGCCCCTGCAGACGCTCCTGCTCCCCTGGGACAGAAGCTTTCTTTCCAAGAGCAGTGTTAAAACAGAAGTGTTTTCCCACACTCAAGGCAGGAGGGATGCAAAGTGTAAGAACCCAAGAGAAATTTTGCCTCCAAGCTCTTTGAGGCTCCTCTTTGCTCCCCCCACCACCGGCATCCCGAGTCACCTCTTACCTTTCCACGGCACCCCAACCCCGACTATCTGCAACACCTCTGAACTGGCTGCTGAAAATGAACCGAGTTTGACAAGCAAGTCCCACCCCACCTGCCAACTCCCCAAGCTGCTAAGCTGCACTACCTGCTTGGACCAGACCCTCCCCCCCTCCCAGCTGCACCCGGATCAGTCACCTCCCGGGAGGGCTCCTGGCTTCCTTGTCACTCCCACCTCCTATCTTTTAGCCAAAATCCCGCCCAGAGGCATGTCGGCTGGGCAGTGGTGCAACGCCCCCTACCCACGCTCTGCTGGCTCAGAATCCCCCGCCCGGGACTCCAGAGACCTGTACTCCTGCCGTGCGCGGGCGGACGAGTTTCCACGCGCGCGTGCCACCAGGGCCTTCGTGTGAAACCTCGGGGGCCGCCAAGCCACCCCGGTGCTCCGGGGAGCGCTGGAAGCCGGGACACTCACCCAGCAGCAGAGGACAGACAGAGCCGCCGCAAGAAACCGAGGCAGTCCGCCAAAGCACCCTGTGCTCAGGGCTGCCTGACCCCTGCCTACTTTTCCTGGTATTCCACGGTGAGAGCCAATGCAGGTCCCTCAATCTCCGCACGCCCTGGGGGCACTACACAGTCTCAGGCAGGAGACCCTGGTGCTCCAAGCAGAGACTGACTTGGATGCCTGACTCTGAGGTTCCTTGACGCGCGCGATGCCCTCTTTCCAGGAGACAGAGCGACTGCTTAACCGAGGTCAGACTTTCAGGTTAAACACTGGCGTTGCTCCAGCTTTTCCTGTGACTCGCAATAGAAGCATTTGAGTCTTCATTTCCTGCTTCTCCTATTCCATATTCGCGCTTTAGTTGCCCCGTGGATGGAGGATGCGAGGCTCAAGCAGAGCGAGCAGGGATGAAGTGTGTGTGCTGGTGCGTGTGATCAGCTGCAGAGCCGCGCTAGCCCCGCCTGTCCTTGCCTTCCCCCGCTGCTCCACCAGCCTGAATTGCACCTCCGCGCCTTGGTTGAGCCCGCAGTGTCTGGCAGCTTACAGAATGCTAGCCCCTCCAATGAGAAGCGGCTCTAAATCTGCTCCCTAACCACAGCCAACTCTTTCCTCGCCCCCTTGCATCAATCAGAAAGCCCCCAAGCAAGCAACAAATGCTGCTTTCTGTGAGGAGTACAATATGTCTCTATTTCAAGGGCTCTCGCGGATGCAAATACTAAGATTTGGGAATGCATCATCAACAGAGATCTGGCTTTCAGATAGGCATATTCAGAAACAGAAATTACAAAAACAGAGAGACCTGACAATATGAACAGCAAGGAAGGGCCACACTGAAAAAAAAAAAAAAAAAAACTCCCAATCCTTTCTGAGAAGGATTCTATGAGAGAGCCTTAGAATATCTAGAGTTAGTGTGGCTATAATTGAGGGGAAAGTAATGAGTTTTAATGGCCCCATCCTGGCAGTTAATTTAATGGAGGGGCAAAGAGCAGAAACTGCTGATACAGTTAGTGTCCATGAGTAAACGCCAGCTTCTTTACCACGTTTCGTGTTCGTTTTAAAATGTCTTAAACCACGTTCCATTCAGTCCAGACACACAAAGTTGGTAGAAAGTCAACTCTTGCTATAAAATAAAAGAGCTGCTAAGCCAAAGACACATGCCACACTAGACCATTTCTCCACAGAGGGCACAGGCTGCTGTGCTCTACCAGAAACCTTCATACCGGTTAAGGAGGAGGACTTGGGAGCCTTGAATGAGGGCTGTAAAACATTCAGCCCAGGTACAGCTTCTCCTGTCAGGCTCCTTATAAGATGTTACCTATTTATTCTCTGGAGATTACGTAAGGACAATGACACTACCTATGGAGTTCTGGTCCTGGACTCCTAAGGTCTGATTTGAATCCTAATTGTGCCATTTACAGACTGTGTGACCTTGAGCAAGAACCCTAATTATCTCCTTCAAAAAAACTGGGAGTTTCCCCAGTCATGATATAAACACCAAAGGAAAAAAGAATGACCGTGATTTTATTATTTCTCCTCTAAAGGCTCTACTGGGCTACAAAGATTTAACAAAGCCAAGAGGAGATTATGAATGAGTTTCTCAAGTTGTAGCCTCACTGTAAGAGAACATATATCCTCATCGTGTCTCTGACAGCCTCTACTCCACCGTCCACTATGCTCTTGGCAGGCTGCTGCCCTCAATTACTGAAACACATCCAGACAACAGCTGACACCCAGGCCGGTCCAATATCTTCTTCCTCTCCCTGTAGTGATCCTGTCCTCCCGACAGGTGTTGCTCGCTCCAGAAACCACCAAGGTCCCTGATGAAGTGTGAACTCTATAGGGCAGACTTCCTTTCCGTCTCAGGCCCACCTTGTCTCATCAGCCAGGTTTTTTTCACCACGAGATAGTTTTCTCAGTGCTGTTTTCCTTTGCTCAGAGTTCCCCTCGCTCTATGGCCAATCACATAAAACAGGATCTACAAGGGCCAGGGCCCTGTCAATACTCTAGTTTCCTTTTCTTGTTCCTTGCCATGTCCCTCATACCTAGAACAGTACTTGCCTCATACTTGGCAGACAATATTTCTTGGATTATTATAGATGCCAGTCTAAATAATTACAAACTCCCTATGAGTTCACCAAACTCTAACTCAGATTCTTACCATCACTCACTGGAATTGGTACCAAAGAATATTTAAAAATAAAGGAGAATACTTCTTGTGCTTGTTACTTTAAAAATTTATATTCTATCTGTCATTTGGATTTTTATTCACTGTGTTTGAAATGGTTCCTCCATTTTTTTTTACTGCAACACTATTAAACTTTCTTGAGGACCTCAGTTCAGCCAAGCATGGTGGGTCAATTCATGCCTTCAATCCCATCACTCAGGGAATAGAGGAGTTTGAGGTCCAGTCCATCCATGCCTACACAGTGGGACTCTCACAGAAACATAATGGTTTAATTTAAAAAATTAATATATTCCTATTATCATTCCTTAGTGAGTAAGTATTAAAGCACTATATCTTTGAACTTTATTGTCTTAGAATGTTTGGTTTTACGTTTTTGTTTAAGTTACCTTCTTGACTCTCATTTTGACAATCCTTGAATTAATTTTTGCTTAGGAGTTTGGGAGAATTGCTAACCATTTCTGATACAAGGCTAAGCCTTTTTGTTTTGTACTACACGTACATGAAAACTGTCATTCTCAACACTGACAATTATAAAGTTAAAATATCGATCAACTCTTAAAAAAATGTTATAATTGTTCCACATGCTGTGGTGTCAAATAATCAGTCAAGATGTAATTCATAAAACAAGCATATTTTTGTACATAAATTTGCTTTGTCTTTAATAGGTACGAAACATTTATGTATACCAAAAATATTTTTAGATAAATTTGTCTTTTGCTATTAATCCTGTTTGGTTTCTATGTATATTTTTTACACTTAGGGTCTGTGTGGAAAGTTTAGGAAGACTTGGTCTACACCTCTCTCTTTACAAAAGAGCATGCTGGGGTTAGAAAGGGCAAATGATTACCCAGTGCCACATACAGAAAGGTAGACACTGAAAGTTTAATGCAAGTCAGCAAGTAGAGTGTCACCAGAGCCTTTGTGATCCAACCAGCCCCTGACCTCAGGATTAGGGGAGAGGTTTACTACTCCAAGAGTGATTTACAGAACTTAGGACCCTCTTCTCTTTAGACTATGTTTCTCATTGGTCTTAAGAGCCATAGCTCTCGAAAATGGTCCAGCATAGTTTATCAAATTATTTTCTATATCCCCTTCAGGATGGACCCTTTTATAGCCACTCAGTTCCCCAATACATGCTCTATATTAACTTCCTTATCTAGCCTTCATATTAACTTACTTTTCACTGCTTACATTATCTTTTTCCTATGATTCTGAAGTCCACATCTGAGACCCTAACATGCGAGGTAGTGATAGAATTTCTCTACATTTTATTTCAGTCGTCACTTCTTGCATAAAACTTTCCCGAATCCTCCCACTGACAATAATCCATCCTCCCTCTATGTGCCCATTACCTTAGATTTTCATTATGACATGCTCAACATGCTAGCCTGTGTTGAAACTGGAATTTACCCAAATAGTTCTAGTGGAAAGCCAACCGTCTGAGCATGGGTCTCCTAATAATTTATTACTCTTTGTACTTCAGGGGTACAGCCTAGCCTTGTATATGTAAAGTACTTAAAAGAGTGCTATAGAGTCAAGCTTTTCAAGGAGTTCATTGAAATGCTCCAGGCAACATAACTTGTATCTTAACGTTGTAATTTGTAGCAACTTGCTAGAAAGACAGTGGGGTAAGGATTCCAATACACACTGACTGGCTTTCAGGTTCATTTTAGATACACAGTACTTCCTGGTAAGTTAACTGATTTTCTGAATGTCATCATGTCACACCTTACATGAGTTTTGACCTCATGGTGACATTGAGTCCCACTCTCTGAAAATATTTACAGATGAACCCAGCTCCTCTCTCCTTGTGAGGACAGCTGCTTCAAGGATGAGGTTCTGGAGGGCAGCCAGCCTCACGGTGCTGAGGTCAGGCAAATGTGTGGGGAACAGATGACAGACAGCCACTGAATTGGGTGCTTTTGGATGAAGTGAGGGAAAACACTCTGTACAGACTGGGTCAAAATGTGCGAGAGGCACACAGTTTTAGACCAGGTCACAGTGGCCAGAAAAATCTGAGAAAAAAATAATTGCATAATGCATAATCATTTGGAGTCTAGCATTTCAAGATAAGGTGGTAGATGACAAGCAAACTAACCTGGAGTTCAGAGGGATAGAACAAAGCTATATTTAACAACAAACTCAGATAAGGCCCAGCTACATAGTTATTCTGCCTAGGGAGTACTTTTGGCAGTGTCTTATTTGCTGTGTCCAAAATAAGAAATATCGTGAATAACTGTTACTTCAAAAGTGAAGGATATGATTTTGGATTTTATTCTAAAAAGCATGACTTTGAGCATGCAGTTATCCTATTATGTAAGAGAACAGTGTGAGAAAAAGAACATACCTAATATAAAAGATAAAACCTCTGCCCCTGAGAAGTCCAAATTCTAAAAATGACTTAATCGGCCAACTGTGACAAAAGCAAAGCTTTGAGCATCCCAGGGCACCTGGAGTGGGCCTCTTCATTCATGGTCTGTGACTGTGACACACCATGAGACAGCTGCCTTGCCAGCTTGCCACAGTTATTAATTACTCAAAAAGGAAAAACTGGTTTATATTATTTTGTAGGTGATTTTCTCTTCTAGCTCCTTTCCAAAGGAATAATGAAGGTGTGGCAAAGTAGGAGTTCTAAAGCCCTCCATCCTTCAAAAGACAACATGCTCCCATTGCCAACAGAGATTTTTGCTACATCTGGGAAGAGGTCACTTTTTGAAATTCTGTATGCAATTTTGAGAAATAGAATGATATTCCTTTTTCTCACTCTCCTAAAAAAGAATACAGAAGTTATTTTCTCTCTTGCCAAAAAAAGAAGAAGAAGAAAACTGAAAAGGAAAACCAGTTTGAGATTTGATTGCACAGACCTGAGAACAGAGCCCTTGCCAGACCATGGCAGATGACTCAGGAAGCCTTTAATCTTGACTCCAGCCAGGCCTCTACCTAAGGATTCAGAGAATGTCAATAATCCATTGTCACTAGGAGGCCATTTATTAGCAAGGTTTTCCTCACTAAGCTTTCTCTATACCACAGAGGTGTGCCATGGAGTACTCTGGTCTTTAAAAGAATAAGGACTTTTAAAGTATCTTCTGGAAGTTGGGCTGTTTAATAAGGTAGACGTTTGTTTTAGAAGGTTTGCGGGTGTAGATCTACAAAGAAAACATATAGAGAAACATAATCACCCCTACCCATGTCAATATTTCTAAGCATTGCCCCCCCCTGAAGAACACCAATGGACTTACAGATATCAAAATATGTATAAGGATTATGCTGCTTTGAAGCATCAAACATTGAAAGTATGCATACCATGTATCTATCACTAGGCCAAAGCTGTGCAGGTGCGG